ACGACCTTTTCTGCTCCAAAGTACCGAGGGATCCAGGTGGGCATTGCACCAACTTTACCACCCTTCGGCCTTTATTTATGTTTCTAACTTTTATTTTTTATTTTTTGTTACAGAGGGATATAGGGAGACGCCGCCCAGCCTTCAAAATTCGAAGTTGCCTTTGACGATTTGATCAAGGTCTGGTCCTACAATCTCGACGACCCCTTCGCTCAAGCCATACACGTTCTACTCCGCTACCGCCTAGGCTACACCAAGGTCTCGCAGATCCCCACTCCTTTTGACCCTTCTATCTAGGCCAATAACTACTCTGAAGAAAAGGATGAAGACAAAGAGGAGGATCTTGAAGTCGACCCCGATCGCGACTTTGAAGCCACCCCATCAACTTCAAACAAAATGTTTCGCATACCCCCCATCATAACCGAGAGTCTGGAAGTCGTTTGTACGGCAAAGAGGGTGAGGCTTTAGGGGTTCGATGAGCCGTCCGGCACTACGTCGATCCCTACATCTCCGCTTGCTCCCTTGCACCAACAAGAGCATCGACAATAATCACCGCCACCACAATAACAATAGCAGGAGCAACAACAATAACAACAACAACAACAACAACAAGTCCCTTTGAGGGTCCAATAATGGAGAAGGCACCAAGATGAGCCCTCGGAGAGGATTAGCAGAGGGAGCGCCAAGTGAAATAACGTCATAACGCCCTGACATTCTCAGGTCCTGCCGATTAGGCCCCGAGCCGTCACCATGAGGGAACAACCAATCCTGGAGTCTGACTCCATCATTCATTCCCCCTGACGTGCCCTGGCCGTTGGGGGTACCATGATCTTCGACATCGACATGGCGATACTGAAGGAGTATAGAGACAATTAGCTCCTCTAAGGGGTGGTTCAGCACAACTTGGTGATCAGTAATTCAAGCTTTCTCCATGATGTAACCATTTTTTACCACTTTACCTTAATTATGACATTTGTTCTTTCTCTTCTGGCTTTCCATTAGATGGTGGTCATCATCGACAACTTTCAGGCATACAGGAGCAAAGTCAACAAGGCCCAGGCTGAGTTGGCCCAGAAGGATGTCCAAATTCACCAAGTGGAGAGGACGATCGTTGACCAAACCAGACACATTGTTGACCTAATCCGCATGGCTAAGGCCCTCATCGTCGAGCTAGACAAAACCAAGGATGTCGAGATCTAGGCGGCGAGGAAGATGAAAGAGGCCGAACTCAAGGCCTTTGCCGTCGAAGCGAAGCTGCATGAAACCAAGGTGCACTGTGCTACCTTAACTTCGAAGGTGGAGGCTCTAGAAGGGGAAAAGGTCGGGGAGGCCAAGAGGCTACATAAGGCATACATGGACGTGAACTAGCAATGCCAAGATCAATTCGTCCCAGCCTTTGATGATGGAAAGAGAAATGCATTCAAGCAAGGCTGGGGTGAGGCCCTTCATGCTGCTGGGGTCACGGTTGACTCAGATCTCTTTGCAAGGCACAACTTGCTAGGGGAACCAGAGGCTGAGGCCCTTACTAGCGTCCAACCGAGTGCCGAGCCGACTGAAGTAGGGGAGACTACGGTGGAGAACGTGCCTATCACAGTTAGTGATGGGACTGAAGAAATGTCCTCTCTTCGGCTCTCTTCTCCTACCCTTCCAAGGCACACAGGAGATCTTGTTGTCCCTAGCACCCCTATCATTCATCCTGGTGGCGGCGAGATCGGGGAGTGTTGGTGAAGGGTCTCTTAGAAGGCATCAGTCGCGGCTCGGTGGCGAAGAGCTCGGTGGTGACCTTGTTGAGCCCGTAGACCCCGAAGGCCTTTGAAGATCCTATTCTATTTGTGTTGTTCTCTTTCTTCTTTTTTTTTTTTTTGTATGTCTGGGGGGCACGACCCCTTTTTCTTTCATCAATGAAACTTTTATTTCTTGCATGATGTCATCATTACAATGTATTCTATTTCACTCTGTTGAATTGTGTTGTTGATTCCCGAACCTCCAAGTTCAGAAAGTTTTGAAAATTCACAAGTATTGGAAGGTTGTTGTACTCGGGGCCTTGCCCTTTGTGACTGAGCAAGAGGCTCATACCCCTAACAATCGAGTCCGAGGCTATTGTTAACTTTTTGAGGGCGGTACTCTAAGGGTGGAGGCTTTCTCCTCTCAGGATCGTACTCCTAACGATTGAGCCCGAGACTCGTGTTAACTTTTCGAGGGTTGTTTTCCAAGGATAGAGGATTACCCCTCTCGGGGCCATACCCCTAATGATCGAGCCTAAAACTCGTATTAATTTTTCGAGGGCAGTGCTCCAAGGGTGGAGGTTTACCTCTCTCAGGGCCCTACCCCTAATGACCGAGCTCGAGGCTCGTGTTAGTTCTTTTCGAGGGCGGAGGCTTATCCCTCTCGAGGCCGTACCCCTAACGACCGAGTTCAAGGCTCGTGTTAACTTTTTGAGATCCAATGCCTAGAAGTCAATTTAGTAATAATATTTCTTCAAATTTGATACATTTCAAGGTCGGTTTACATCTTTCTCATCTATGTCTTGTAGTCTATATGCCCCTGTGTCCCCCAAAAAAATTACTTTGTAAGGGCCCATCTATGGCTTCCCGAGTATTGCCCATAACTTTGCGCAACACCAAGTCTCCCTTTGATGTTGCTTTGACAACTCCCCTTGATGCTTGGCCAGCCTTATGGATGTTGATTCTCTTTTTTCCTTAACCAAATCGAGATCTCTAGCTAATGTCTGATCATTGTTTCTTGACTCGAAGGCTTGACTTCGTATGATAGGAAGTCTCACCTGACTGCCTCGACCTCATATGTCATAGCATAGGAAGTTTCTCCTGTAGAAGTTCTTGGAGTGGTCCTATATGCCCATAGGACATTGAGCAGCTCCTCGGTCCATCTACCTTTAGCTCTTTCCAACCTTTTCTTGATTCTAACCAATACAGTCTTATTCGAGACCTCCGCTTGCCCATTACATTGTGGATAAGCTGGGGTGGAATAGTAAATGCGTAACTTAAATTCCAAACATAATTCCCTAAATGGCCCGCTGTTGAATTGAGTGTTGTTGTTAGAGACGATGGCCCGAGGAATGCCGAACTAAGTGATGATATCCTGCCATACAAATTTCTTTGTTTCCACATCCCGAATACGACTCAAGGGCTCAGCTTTATTCCACTTTATGAAGTAATCCGTAGTGACCAAGAGGAATTTCTTGCCTAAAGGAGCCCACGACAGAGGCCCCACTATATTTATGCCCCATTGGAAAAATGGTCAAGAACTAGTCAAAGGGTTCAGGTCTATTGCTGATTGTCGGATGATGGGAGCAAACTTTTGGCACTTATCGCATTTTTTAACATACCCATTAACATCTTTCTGCATATACGACCATCAATACCTTGAGACATCACACGGTGCACAAGAGATCTTCCTCCCGTGTGACTCCCACATACACCTTTATGAACCTCGTAGAGTAAAGGTTCCACTTATACTTAGGGACGCAGAGTAAATATGACCCCAAAAAGGATCTCCTATATAACTTGTGATCAAAGGACATCCAGAATTTGGGAGCTTTTAGCTTGATCTTCCTAGTTTCTCTGAGATCATCGGGGAGTATTCCCTCCAGCAAATACTTGATTATGGGGTCCATCCAACTCGGAGACGTACTTTGGATTTGCGTCGACAGTACTTCCTCGGCTTTTCTGTCCTTTATGCTCGGACTCTCTAGGTAGTCAACGATAATGCACCGAGCTGCCTCCGAAGTCAAGGCCAAGGAGAGGCAAACCAACACATCGGCATGACTATTATGATTCCTTGAAATCTGGGACACTTCTATCTTCTCGAACTTCTCTATCCTTGACTTTGCTTTTTGGTGATATGCCTTCATCCTATCATTCTGAACTTCAAAGTCCCCATTGATTTGATTTACTACCAACTGGGAGTCACATAAAATATGGAGGTGTCTTTCCCCGACCGAGTACGCAATATTGAGTCCAGCTAACAACGTCTCATACTCGGCCTGATTGTTGGATACTTTAAATTCCTACCTGATAGCTCGCTCCATTGTAAATCCTCTGGAATTGGCCAACACTACGCCTACTCTTGCCCCCTTTGGGTTGGAGGATTCATTCACAAGCAAACTCTAAACGTCATTGCTGTCAAAAGTTGTCAACTCTTCCTCTGGTGGAAACTCGGACACAGAGAATTCGACAATAAAATCGGCGAGGGTCTGCCCTTTGATGGAAGTACAGAGTTTATACCTTATTTCAAACTCGTTGAGCTCTACGACTCACCTGGCAACTCGTCTTGACATGTCGGCTAGGGGTGTCAAATGTGTCGGATTAAATGGTTACGTGTTGGATTAAATGGGTGACGGGTGAAAAACAAGTAAACTCATACACGATCCGTTTAATAAATAGGTAAAAAACTTCAACACGAACACGAACAGTTTAATAAATGAGTAACACGACATGACTCATTTAACCCGTTTAGTTTTATTTTATTATTTTATTTTTGTGACTGTCACTAAATTTAAAAAAAAAATTCTTTGGCTATCACTAAAAATAATATACATATATTTTTTATGGTTGTCATTAAAAAAAATATGCGTAATTTTTTTAAATAATTATTAATTTATTATTATATTAATTTTATTTAAAAGAAAAAACGAATTGACAAGACTTATTCGAACACGATTCAGTTATTAAATATGCCTAACACGTCAACTCATTTTTCACCCGTAACTTATTAAAATCTTATACAAGTTCATTTAATTCGTGTCTGATGATAATCGTATAGTAATTAAAAAACAAAAAAAATGGTCTCACGACGTTTTGACAGTTCGAGTTGGTTTGTGTGTTGTGCGTCACGCTTCCCCCAACCGTCACTCAGCTTTATTGTTTACAACTACCAGTAAGACGCAGAAGAGCGAAACGACTGATTGGTGGCTCAAATTGCAGTTACTCTGAAATCTCCACTTTATTTCGCCAATGGATTTCTCCCAACAGACTTTGCGAGAAGGTACACTATTGTTATATTCAATAATATTCTTTCTCTCTCTCTCTCTCTATAAAGATCTACCTCTATCTTTCTTCCAATTTTGTTTTCCAGAATGGATGAACCAAATCAAAATGTATCAATACCTCCTCCTCCTTCTTCCAATTTGTTGGAGACATCGAGGAATGGCGAATTTTCAGGCGCAGCAGCGACATCTATATCGACATCGTCGTCCAATTCACAGGTTCAAGAGGGAGATGAGAATCACGAGCGACCTCAACAGCCGTTAGAGCAACAGACTAGTGCGTCGTATCACGTACGGAGCTTCCCAACAACCGGTGACGAGGCTTTTTCATTCCTCAGAAACGATACTTGGTCTTGTGTCATCGTCGTCCTCACCTTTTGGTTCTTCGGTTCGTCCACTTAATCTTTTACCTCTGCACACATACACACACAAACGTGCGTGTGTGTGCGTATGCTTATGTGTTTTTTTTAGCTAATTGGATTGTCCTGTTTTAAGAGCACTATCAATTTGGGGAACACTTGTTTTGGATTTTGCAATTTGTCTGTTTCAGCATCCATGACTCTGATTTTGGGAGTTTACGGATCGGTAAGGGTAAGGTTGGTCCAAATTCATCGATTCTGATAAAACCTAGTCCATTGTTCGTGGAGTATTTGAAGGTAATTTGGCAATGCTCATTTTATTCCAAATCATTGTTGGCTTGGGTTACCCATTTTGAATTGAGTTGGTGTTGTGCCAGGTGGAGGAACTAGATGATAAATGGCCTGGGCTAATGCTGTATGGGTTTCATAATGATCCACCGCTTGATGTTGTAAATACTTGGTCAGAAACACATGCTACATCTCTCCACGCCAGTTCTCATCAGGCGAGTTATTTCATTAAGAGCTTGAACTTCATGATGATATTAGTTTTAGTTAATGGTAGTTGAGCACTTCTATTTTCATGCTACAGGAGTGGTTACATTTCTTGAATGAGGGATCTCAGATAAATGTTTCGTACAGTGTGTCCCCGAGTTCCTCTTCTCTAGTCTTTGTAATTGTCCAAGGTATATTCAAACTTCTCAAACAGAAGTCCTTCAAGGCATTATTTCTCTATGCTTTGGGAGTGCAATCCAACTATCAAGGAGTGATTGATGCCCTGAAAATTGAATTATACTTCCCACAAAGATCTTCTTCTTGACTCTTGACCTCCTGTTCTTCCTTAGAAGGGGGTAGCAAGGTCTGGGAAACATTTTTCACAACAGTAGACCATTTACTGCCCTATCCTCTTCATTCTAGAAAATATGTAGTTTTGCTTGATTGTCAAGTCTCAAGTTGTGTTTATTCCTTGGCAATTGCGTGTTTCACTTATTTTTGGATTGGGACAGGATTTTTTCTTGAGTTTGAAATTGTAATTGTAGTAGGTCTGTCAGTTAGTTCTTTGTTCGATGTTAGGTTACAAAAATGGTGGAATCAGAAGCTAGATCTCTTGTTTACCCAACGGAGCCTTCTAAATTCTCCTCTACGTTGGTTGCCTTTATTGGACCTTTGGTCATTATTCAGAGCTATTTAGCTAGTCTTAACACTGATGGTGGTGGGTCCATCTAATAGTGGATTGAACTACAGTTTCTTGTTCTCTCCCTTGCTCCCCCAAAACAGCTACACTGAGCGGATGTTTTTGTCCTGGTTCTTAAATTATTGAATGCTTTTGGTTCATTACCATGGGAGGTTCTCCACATTTTGTTCTTGCTAATCCCTATTAACTTTTTGAGTATTATCCTAGTTGATTCAGTATAATTGTGCTCTACCCTCAGCATTTTCCTCAAAGCTGGATTGTTGCAGGGAAAGATGGTCTTGCTGAATGGCTTGAGGAGCCATCGTATCCTAATTCCGCTTTATTGTGGGAGATCATCCATGGTGAGATGGTAAAAGTGGAAAATTATTGCTGGTGTATAAGTCAAGTTTGTACTGACATGGACATTTGCTTTGCAGGAAATGGCATGATCCAGCTGGCTATTTCAAAATCTTCAAGTTACTACATTGCAGTGGCTAACCTGTATGCTGAAGAAGTGGATGTAAGCAATAATCCATTCAACCCTTCGCTGAATCATTTTGAGGATTTTTCCTTGTGCTCTGGCAATGAGATTTATATATCCATTGCCTCTTCTACAATCATTGAAAAATTGCATGTCCTTTGGATTCTTGGTGCTGATACATGATTCTTATTTCTGATAAGTTTTGCATGAAAAATGGATGAGTGTGGAGCAAATAAATTTGTTTATTGTTTCTCCATTGGTTGATACGAGTATGTTTCGCTAAATCTGCAAGGTCCATAAATTTTTTTGGGGATCAGAAATTATGGAATCAATTTCCCATTTCTTGGTGAATATTTTTGTTTCATTTCAATGAAACCTGTAAATGATGAAAACCAAGAAATATAGTGAAACTTTCCAATATTCATCAAATTTAGGGGAGCTCAAATGCACTCTAAGTAGTTTATATGGCTTTCATCAACTGTTCCTTACAGAATTATCTTACTGCCTTCTGTCATTTTAAGAAATTGTGATGCTTCATTCCTTTGGACTGGTTTACATTACTCAGTTGAATCTAACTATATTCTCTTTTTCTCTGTCATTTAACTATATGTTAAACAGGTGCAATTGAACCTCACAATAAAGGCGTTACTTTATAATACAACAGAGGCTTATTACATGTGTACTTTCGCTCATGGTCAATGTACTGTGGAACTGATTTTCCCCACTGGAAACATTGCTATTTTAACCTCCCCTGGCCCTAGAAATGTAAGTTTGTTTTGCCTCCCTTGACGTTTTATTTTACCAGTTAAAAGTGATTTTCATCAATATTGGGTACCAATGGGCCTTTGGTCCAATGGTAATATGGTACTCCTTGCCATCTTGAGGTTAAGGGTTTAAGTCCCTCTCTCCCCCCCCACAGAAAAAAAAAAATCAATAGAGGGTCACTGACACACGTGATTGCTTCACCATTTCATTCCAATTCCCTCGACTGTGGGGGCTCAAAATCCCAGAACTCTCAACTACGTTATCAATAACTTCTCTCATACAAAATCTCTACTTTAATTTAAGAAGTTCTATTTGCGACAAACTTATGTGGGTGGTGGAGAATTTATGTGAAGTCTTAAATAATGTGCCTTCATGAAATTGGACAATCAGAGGAACTTGGGAACAGGGAGAATCATTTGCCTTAATTACAGAAATGGAATGGATTCAGGCGTTCACGATGAATTCTCTGTCCCAGAAACTACATTTAAATATTAAGATTGAATTATGTAAGGATTATACTACATTTGACTTGTACAAGTCCATCAGCACATTCGCTCGTATGCAATTATATATTTGAAAGATGTCCAGACACAGGTTGGGTGTTGTACACCAAAGATCCAATTAACCTTAGAGTCTAGATTTCTCTGGAAAGGCCAAATGGCAAGTTCAACCGGTTGGTTGGGGTTGCAACCAGACCTTATTCTTCCCTTTGGATTGCATGTTTTTTAGGTATTTCCAAAGTTTTTTTATTTAGCACCTCCAAAATTGTATTCATTGGGTCTACTTTCTATTCCTTCAGCGTTCAACTAAGGATGAGTGGTATGTTAAACTGTCCTATGGGCCTCGATGGATATCGTATCTTGTAGGGATAGGTATACTTTCCTCTCCAATTTACTTTTTGTATAAACCCTTCTTATATGTTGATGTTTTAAGTTTTCTTAACCTTTCTGCACGTAGGTGGACTGACTGTCGTCATGTTACTGGCATTCCACTTCTCTAACAATTTCCAATGTACAAGTGATAATATGACTGGAACTCAATATGGAGATATGGGATCTGAGAGAGCTCCTTTGCTTTCACGAAAAGATGATGATATCTCAAGCTGGGGTTCATCTTATGATTCTGTTTCACAAGATGATGAGGACCCGGAAGATGCATTAGCTGTAACTTCACTTGAGGGGAAGCCAACAAAAGTTGGTGAATACAATAATAATACCAGACGCCTTTGTGCGATTTGCTATGATGGTCCGAGGGATTGTTTCTTCCTTCCATGTGGGCACTGCGTGGCTTGTTTTGCATGCGGAACAAGGTATCCACTCTTCATCCTTGCATTAGCATCAAACCTAGGTTTATATATGCTTCAGGCTTGCCATTCAGGTTAAAACTCAAGACAACAACAGGCAAGGGAGCTGCACAAAAATGGTTTTCTGATCTTAAATAACTTGCTGATGTGGTAAATGCAAGCATTGCAGATACAAAATACAATGAGAGGTGTATGGTTGAAAGAATATGTATTCTGAACCAACATGGGGGAAAACCTTTTCGGGCATTGTTTTAAAAATATGATGTTTGAAATTCTTGGTAATAAAATTATAGCAGCCACCTTGAGAATTCATTGGGTTTATAAATCCATACTAGTGCAATTGTCACTTGACATGCCACCCCCATATGTGGCTGCTGGTGGCTGACAAGATCAATTGATATTGTTACAAATTGTATGGAAACTCCAATTTCAGAGTTGACCTTTCTACTTATGAGGACAATTTCAATGAATTTCAAGTACACCTAGCTTGAGATTTGAAGTATTTTGGATCGTTTTTAATCTAGGATAAGAACTTAAATTCATTTCTTGTCACAATGGCATGAAGCATGTCGTTTGTCTCGGGATGCTGAAAATTTTGCTCGCTCCATATTGCAAAATAAATCTGCTACAACACCATAGGAGTGTTTATATGTTGTTTTTTTAATGGCGCCCATGTTGTTACAGTGACAAAACAACGTATATTCAAAATCCATTGATATACTTATCAATTTGAACATTGCAGGATCGCGGAAGCAGCTGGTACCTGCCCTATCTGTCGTAGAGAAATGAAGAAGGTGAGGAAGATATTTACAGTCTGAGACCTATACAAATTTTTCTGACATGGAAACTGCTTGTTCTCTCCTGTTGGTGAATGGCGTTAACTAAGAAATGCACAGATAAGGCGTTAGAATAGTTTGGGAAGTATAATGGCTAAGCCTCTTCAACAATGCCATTCTGTCTTATGGCATGGAAATGCTCATAGACATGTCAAGTTGTTTGCAACATATAGTCTCATCAGCTAATTAGATCATACTTCCATGTATCTCATAATCGACTGATCATCATAATTGCCTTTTCTTATAAGTCAATTGATCGTGGTATGCTTGGATTTAAGTTATTTTGCCATTATGAATTGAGTTGGAATCAATTATCTAATCACATCTCCTTTTACACCCGAACTAAACAATCCTCTGGTGTACTGAGGAATAGGAAAAGTGGGTGATAGATAGATTTTTAGGTTTAATTAGCATTACTCGATAGATAATTCTACCATTGTCTTGGAGAGAGTTATTTTCGAATTAAGCCAATTACATTTGGATTCAATGCACGAATATTATCAAATCTCTCTATCTGATCTCAGCACGTAGCAGCCAACATGTGAATTACATAGCCAAAAATTGCATAAATGGAATTATTAATTTATGCAGGAACAAGGACAGAACAGATAATTTGCTTTCATGGTAACAATATTTGACACCCATCACCTATTTTCAAACATCTCCAACTCCTAGGATGCTTTGGCACAGTGGCGGAGTCAAACATTTTGTCAATAATTGATATTTTACTCATAAATTTTAAATTTTTTTCTTCCAATCAATAAAAATAAAATTATGTATTTAAAATTTTAACATTATATTTGAAACTTAAAAATTCATAAAATATAAAAATTATCAAACGTCGATAAATATAGTGTATATAAATTAAAAAAAAAGGCTAATTATAATCTTTCACAACAAAAGAGACTAACTACATAAAGATACTATAATCTTTTTCTATATAACTAATTAAGCTATTAGTCATTGATGACTCGTTATGTTACTTAAACTAGTTTTCATAATATCTATAATTTTAAAAATGAGTCTGACGTATTAAAATTTTTTTTAGATGTATCCATAAAGTGATTAAAGTGTGTTCCAAAATTTATAATTATTTTGTTATATAATTATACTAATAGATAGAACAAAAAGCAATATAATGGACACTGTTAACTATATTTATAGTTGTTTTAAATTTACATAAATAATATTTTTTAAAAAAAATTAGCGTGGGCCCATGTTTGGCATATAACATTGAAACTAATGCTCCTTTGTCTCCAACTTTATGGTGTTGTACTTTTCCTTTAACAAATTGGAATAACAAGAGAAAAGACGTCATTGTCTTGTAATCTTGACGATGTTATAGTTTTCTGCTTCATTTTATCCTATCTAGATATGACTAGAAACAATGTTGCTTTGCTTAAAGGTAAGCTCAAATATGCACCCTATCATATAATAATGCATAAAGTAATTAGTGGGGCTATCTCACATCGGATAGTTTTAAAATATGTGTATATTTATATGAAGTCTACAACCTTCACATTTTTAAGATATTGGTTGTACTTATCTTCTCTTCAAAAAAATCATGTGTGTTTTAGAGTGTCTGTTTATGGGCTTTGCTAACCTCCTTCTTTGGGCTTGGCCATAGGTCGGGTGAGACTTTAGGGCGTGGGTGGGTTGGACTAGGGGCTATCCCACCTCGGATAGTCTTACGGGGGGTGTGCATTTATATGAACCCTACAACCTTCACCTTTTTAAAGTTTTGATCGTAGTTGTCTTCTTTTCAAAAAAAATTACATAATTGGTTTGAAATCCTTTTTTTTTCTATAAATAATTTGAAATCATTAATAATTGCACTAACACTGCATTTGATTTTCCAATTATAAGATTAATTACATAATTATCAAATTATATTGAAGATTCACTAAAAACTAACCATTTATTATATAAAATGTTAGAAAAAAAATGGGCAATAAATTATATTTTTCCTCAGGAAAACACTTTTTAGTTTTATTATTTGCCAGTTAGGACAATAAACTCCAATTTTCAATATTTTTTTCACATTAAGTATAATTTGTTTCAGTTTTAATTTTAAAAATCCATTACATTTGACCTAATACTTTTATAAAAAAAAACTAAAAATGTCGGTATTTGAACAAATGTTAATAATTATAAAAGAATTTATAACAACAACCTCCAAATGTGATGTTAGAGCTAGGGCTGTTAGTTGAACGAGGTTGAGTCGAGCTTGAAAAACTTGTTTCTTAATTGAGCTTTAAAAATTGTTTAAATTTGGCTCATTTAAGAAACGTGTCAAGCCTGAACGAGCCAAGAACGAGTATTTGCACATAAACGAATCGAGCTTGTCAAGTTTGAGCAGACCTTGTAGGGTTTGTTTTCTAAATGAGCCTAAAAACTTGTTCAAGTTTAGGCTCGTTTAGAAAACGAACCGAGCCGAACTCAAGTCAAACTCGAGTACCTCAGTTTGATTAATAGCCCTAGTTAGAGCTCTACAACTATGTAGAATCAAAATTGGTGTGCTCAACCCATAATTAGTGAAAAATAGAATCGAAAGGAGTAAAGATGAGTGGATTGTTTATTGAGTTTTGATTTATTGTCGATTTTATCGATTCAAATGCAACCATCAAAACAAAACACCAAATTTATTTTAATATCAAGCTTAATCTATACAGATGTTTTTTGGTGATTAAAAGTCGAAGGGCAAAAAAGGAATGAAACTTAAAAATAAAAAACCAGAAAAAATACAAAAATAAAAATAAAAAATTACAGGACAAATACTTTATGAAATGGGGTGGGTTTGAATTTTAAATTTTTATCCTCAAATCATGGAAATTCTGACACTAATGGTTGAGATATGCGAGCAGTTTCTATATTTTTTTATTCTTTTCGTCAATTTGTTTAGACAGGTAGGAAACTTTTTAAATTAAAAAAGAATTATTTTGGACTTTAAACTAATATGAATTTAAACTTATATGTAGGTACTTAAATCCACTTATTTTTTAAATTTTAAAATTACCACTAACGGAATTAGTTTTGTTCAGTTTATGAAAAGTCACATATGTTAAATTATTGAGGTATATATAGAAACTCTTAATTGAATTATATATGGAAACCGTTTATTAAATATTATGATAATTAACGGAAGTTTTATATGAAAGTTATATATTCTGATAGTTATATATGAGAAGTTTAATGTACAAAAAAATTGTTGGTCTATTAAGTCAAAATTAGATCACAAATTTTTTTAACAGCAGTAATGCATAATATAAGGAGGCTAAACAATACCAACAGAGTTTAATAACACGAATGTTAATATATAGTAACATTCATATTATTATATAATTAAAGTTACAATTAGAATCATGTTACCAATACAGTCGTGTTATTATACTAACATTAATGTTATTATGTGAATTTTAACATACAATTGCAAACCTTGAGATGTATATTATGTAATATATACTTTAACATTCACAGTAATATCAAAACTTTGTGTTCAGTAACACATCTAATTTTATAAAATATAAGACAATAGTTTTTTTACAATAACATCAATTTTTGAATGATTTTAGTGAAAATACGATTTATAAATTGAAAATTTATAAAATGACGAGTAATAACACACAATCGACAGTTGAATTACGACCCTCAACACCAATTGTGAACATTAAAATATCAAAATTTTGAACTCCATTTTTTTGATTTACGTACAATAACATGAACTTTTTTTACAGTAACATAACTAAAGAATATTCGATTATCTTGCGCAACAAAAAAATCAACAAAATCGAAATCTATAACATTTTAATTTAGTATTAATGTATGAGTTTTCTTAAATCTTGGTTACAATGTTAATGCCCACATTGACAGAATTAAATCCTTAATTGTTATTACTTTTTTACCATGTTACTATTTTTTTAGTGACCATGATACTGTTTTTGTTGAGTATGTTACTATTGTTATTTTTTAAATATTAATATTCAATATTAATATTTTGTCGATAAAGTCCAAAATAAACTGAAATAGTAAATTGAAATTGTATTTTATGTAATGTAATGAGTTTGAAATTTGCATATGAATAGTTTTTGGTATATGCTGGTTTCTTATTTTTCGGATAAAGATACATTGTGACTTAAAAAATTGTAACCGAATTTAAAGGCGATTATGAAGAAATGAGATGTATATGACTGATTATTGTGTCTATAAACATCGTTTATAACATTCCAACAAGGAAGAATTACAAATAATAAAATTGATAAAAAGTAGACTTAAAATTAAATAAATTTTATTAATAAATTTATCTTTAAATAAATCCATATAAGGAGACCAACCTTCAAAGTTACCTAATTCTTATATTGAATACCGGCCCCGTTTTCCCTAATAAATTCGACAACGACTACATCCCAGAATTTGGGCCGCCTAGACATTTCGATTCAATAGTGGGCCTTTAAAGGCCTCCCAAGCCCAAGTTACACCTTCGTCGCTGACGCATTACCCATCCGCAGGCCGCAGCAGTGAATTGCTTTCCTTGTAGGAAACGAGCTCCACTCTAAGACCAAATAACGCACAGAAGAGAGAGCCCCCCCCCCCACACACACACACACACACAGATATATATATATATATATATATATATAGAGAGAGAGAGAGAGAGAGAGAGAGAGAGAGAGAGAGGCATGGGTGTTGATTACTACAAGGTTCTTCAGGTGGATCGCAGCGTCAAAGACGATGACTTGAAGAAAGCCTATCGCAAACTTGCCATGAAATGGCACCCCGATAAAAACCCTAAAAACAAGAAAGAAGCCGAGGCCAAATTCAAGCAAATCTCCGAAGCATACGACGTATGGAGATATGTATCTATCTATCAAAAACCCTGATTGTCATTTTTGATTTAATTAATTGAACAATTTTTATACTGTTTGCTTACAGGTTTTGAGTGATCCACAGAAGAGAGCAGTATACGACCAGTACGGGGAAGAGGGTTTGAAGGGCCAAGTGCCGCCGCCCGGTGGCGGTTCGTTTGCTGGCATGTCGGAAGGCGGTGGGCCCACAACGTTCCGGTTCAACCCTCGCAATGCCGACGATATTTTTTCTGAGTTTTTCGGGTTTTCGAGTCCGTTCGGAGGAATGGGGGACATGGGAGGCCCACGTGCTGGCGGGCCCGGGTTTTCGAGGAGTATGTTTGCGGATGATTTATTTGCTTCATTTAGGGGTGGTGGTGGAGAAGGGTCCGGTAATTTGCCGCGGAAAGGGGTGGCGATAGAGAGAACATTGCCGTGTAGTTTGGAGGATTTGTACAAGGGGACCAGCAAGAAGATGAAGATTTCCAGGGATGTTACTGATTCTATTGGGTGAGCTTCACAACTTACGTTCTAATGATCTCTATTGCTTTGTGGAAAATTTGGAGTTATTTTACTTATATATGTCATTGAACATGCTTACCTTAATTGGGTCCAAAATGCTTTGTTTGGATAGGGGTGTGTCTAACTGTGAACTATTAATGAATGTCGTTCCTGTGACCTGATTGTTTGTCTGGAATGTGGATTTTCTGTGCTATATTTATGACACCTGAACCGAGCCATCATTTGCGTGTAAGTCACTACCTTTTGCAGAAAGTATCGATTGTGTCTGATATTACTTGATAATTGTGAATAATTTCTATCTTTGAGTTGAGTCCAATATTAAGAAAGAACAAGTTTGTTATGCTGTTTGTGGATTGTGCCATACTAAATTTAGATACTTTTCTCATTAATGTAATCTCTATTGCTTGTGGGGAACGGAAAAATAAAAGGGACTTTAATCTGGCAAGTTCACGTATAGTCATTTAGGCACCTACGTAGTTGTGTCCATGCATCTAGATTATGAGAACTTTCTACGTCTCACTCTTTCTGTGTTAAAAGTGTACTTTAGTGCTTGTTTATGAATAGTATGTTCTAGAACTCCTCATGAACAATGTGGGGTTAGTTGGCAGCAAAAACCTTGGCCTGACCTGGTAGAGTGGACTTCAAATCAATGAAAAGCTAAGACTTTGTCAAAATTTATTTGTAAACCATGCTTACTTGCTGCTGTGTATCATCTCTGGAGAGAGAGAAATAACATAAATTTTTGGATTGGGCATAAGGATGATTTATAAGGAATTATTGGCATCGTTTGATATAGATGAATCTCTATGAATATTGAACATAATATGTACTGTGAAGACTTGGAACCTCCTGATCTATTGAATCACACATCCATGAGTCATCTCCCTAGATTGCTTGTAGAGGTGCTTAGCAACTTCCATTGTCGTGGTATGGAGATATCGCTTCTGGTTATGAGGTATATACGCATGAAAGGGATACTTAATATTCTCCTTTGGTTATTTTATGGTGGAACTGTAGAGTGCAAACTTTTTGGAGGTATTTGTCCAAGTTAGAGGTCAGTATTCTCTAAAGATTTGAACTATGGTATTGTTTATGTGTGGTCAAAACTGCTATGCCATTGCATTTTAAGCAATGTAATTCGAGACTTGTGTGTTATGTTATGTCCACCCAATTTAATGCTGTTGATTTCTTTGTTTTTTCTTTTTTTGGGGGGTGGGGCATATGGTGTTTCAGCAACAATGAATCACTCAATTTAGCCCTCTTAAATAAAACAGAACAAGCTGTATTTATTCCTGGGGAATTTCTTGGGTCTATATATACTGCTGAATTATTTTTGAATTGACTTACAACATGCTATAATTTCCAATTTAGTTTCTTTCGGATCTATGTCAGGCCATAAAGTCTTGTGTTCTTATTCACTAGCTGATCTCAAATAGTTATGCCTGCATCCTTTTGACGCGAGGGATTGCTCCTAAGTGATTTTGAGAATCTGACCAGACTGATCATACCAAAGGTTGGCAAGTGTGGCCAAGAGATTTCCAATGTAAAAGCTAGACAATTTTTTCACCCAAATCACTTAAGTTGTTTGTGGTAACGTGGGTTCCTCTATTTATGTTTGTTTTCCTCTGCAGGAGACCCACCACAGTGGAAGAAATTCTTACTATTGAGATCAAGCCAGGTTGGAAGAAGGGAACCAAAATAACTTTTCCAGAAAAGGGAAATGAACAGCGAGGTGTTATACCATCAGACCTTGTCTTTATTGTTGATGAAAAGCCTCACAGTGTCTTCAAACGGGATGGCAATGATCTCGTTGTCACACAGAAGATCTCTCTGGTGGAAGCTCTTACAGGTTACACTGCACAGCTATCAACACTTGACGGGCGGAATCTGACAATACCCATCACAGCCATCATCAGTCCTTCCTATGAAGAGGTTGTAAAAGGGGAGGGGATGCCCATCCCCAAAGAACCAACAAAAAAAGGGAATTTGAGAATCAAGTTCAACATCAAGTTCCCTGCCAAACTTACTTCAGAGCAGAAAACTGGCATGAAGCGATTATTGACGTCTTCATGAAGACTGGTGGTAGAGCGCCCTATCCAACTCATGTAAGCTTGCATTTGTTTTCTTTACTTGGTCATATACTGGAAATGAAATTCAGCTTTGCTGAATTGGAGTTTCATCAGAACTGTTGTTTGTCTGTAAAGAAAGAGCACCATCTCATGGTAAAGCAGGAAACAAGTGATTTTCTAAAACAATGTTAATAGCACTTGGTAGATTTTGCAGAAATGTTACCAGCTGTGCCATGATGCAAACATGTTAGTGAGATTGCAATGTGGGACTGAAAAGGAAAAGAAGTGAACCTGTGGGCGATTTCTTGTGAAAAGATCATGATCTGGCAGATTGCAAGTAATTTGAAGAGCTGGCATGTTTTTTTTTTCTTTACTTCATCGTATGAAGTGACCCATTTGTTTGATGCTTGCACCTTTGGTGATTGGTGGGTGGCACTGTCTCAATGCCACAATCCTATCTTCTTTCTATGGATTGGTGGCTTTGAGGATATGGATAACTTCTCCCAACAGTTGACATCACAATATTGATGAAATGCAATGTGTTTTTTGATTTCATATTTGAAATGCACAACTTTGTATTCAAGTTTGTTGATGTGTATTGATGTTGAGGTAGCAAGATGGAGCAATCAATACAGCTTAACTTCACCACTCAGCTGAGAATCCGTGCTTTGGACTCGAGAGTTCACTTGGGAGACATAATCCCGTAAATTGTAAGTGGGATGGTTAACACAGAAGAATGCGTGGGTTCTATTCACGAATTACCTTTAGACGGAATTCTTCCCAAATCAATTCAAATCACCTTTACTTTTCGGAATTGCAGGAAATAAACTTCTTGTCTTCATTCTCTCTCTCTCTCTCTCTCACTCATCCATGTAGTATTACTCCATCATAAGCATTGCATTAATATAATGTTAAATAAAATCTATTGTCAATCTAATTACCATTGCATTGATAGGACCTCACTACTAAATATACTTTACATCAATGTAATATTAAGTGTTCATGGTACAATGATATAAAAAAAAAAAAAACAAAACGTGATTCAGTCGGTTGATTTTGAATTAAATGATTTATAATTATTCATTGAGAAAATAATAAAAAAAGAGGGAAATAATATTGCATCATCATTTATTTTTGGGTAAGGTATGAAAAAGTGAAAAAGCCCCAAAAAATTATAACTTCTACTCTCCAACCAAAAAGCGTATGAAATCTATCCATTTTAACATTGATATCATATCAATATTGACAAAATCTATCCATTTTAACATTGATATCATATCAATATTGACAGTTTGTTTGTTGTATTATAAAAAAATGAGTTGTATTGGGTAATACAAGCAAATTCTTTATAAGTAGGCAAAATATAAAATTAAATATGAGACAAAAATATTATTCATTGTAGTTTAATATTTGATAAGACACTGAATTACAAATGAGATAATAGAGTAACTATTACGTATTTGACTGAAAAATCATCAATATTATATAGTTATTAATGTTTTTATTTATCTATTAAGTAAAATGATAAATTTATAATTTAATACGCATAAATTGCACTATGATTCCATTTTCTCATGTGGTATTATAATTGGCTTAATAATATGGATACAATATATTATTTTGATAAATAGTGTATTATTTAAATAAAAATATGAAATAAAATTATATATAATACATAATATTTTTTGGAACTAAATATTAAATCAGATAAAATTAAATTTTTTTAATCTATTATGACTCTATAATCCACACAAACAACGTACTTAGCAAACCTTCCTCCCCCCCCCCAAACAACAAACAAAAAAAAAAAGTTGTTTTCGCTGCTAGTAAAATCAGGAGTTCAAACCGCAATCTCTCCAAGAGCAAGATGACAACGTAATTCATACACTCCCTTTGTGTTTTCTCTGTTTTCGTTCTCAATTTTCATGCATTTCTCTTTCACATTCTTCCGTCAACACTCGCGATCCCACACTAGTCTTTTCTGCATTTTCGATCCATCCAATCGAATAGTTTGAGATCTTATATTTGATGGAAATGGCTTCGGGCTGTTCCAAGTCTGCGAACTGTAGAAGAGATCTTCAAAAGATTACAGCCGTTCACGAACCGGCAGAGAAACTGGTATGCTGTTTCTTTCTTTTACTCTCTCTGCGAAAAATCATAACTGCTGTGAGGTCATTTTCACTCAGATGTCGATGATTTCTATTCACTCTGAACCTGGTAAATTTTAAGTTTTTGATAATTTCTTTTGTACTTGTAGCTCAGATTTCTCGTCTAATTCAATTAAGAATCATATTAGAATTAATTTTTTGAAATTATTCATTATACTCCTAAAATTATGTTTTGATCACATTTCATATATCGCTCAAATTCTTAAATTGTAATTTTTAAATTAAATTATAATCTTGATAACCACGTTGAACCATTAGGTATTAAAATTGTGACAATTTGCATAGATCGTTAAATTTTGGTATTTTATAAATTTATAAATGTTAGACTAATGGTGCAATTGATTTGATTTTTATATCTAATAATTCAACTAGTTTCGATTAACTTTATTCATTTTATTAAAAATAATAATTATGTTATATTGTATTATGCTATATTATATATTCTATACATGTAAATGTCATAATATTAACGATCTAATTGAATGATCCACATTGAATAAAAATATCTTGTTATACCATTATTTGGTCCTCTCAAGAGGAAATCGTATGTGTTTGTATGTATTTGTGCATGCATGTGTTATGAAGATACCTTTTGTTGGGTAGAAGTAGAATTGGAGAACACTAGGCTTGGTTTGGTTGCTAAGGGAATTGAGGAAACATAAATTATAGTTGATGGTGTTTTCTGTGCGGCTGAGCAGAGGTGAATGGTTTGGGGATCTTATTGTGGATGTTAAAGGGAATTACTGGGATATCCGGTCAGAATTTTTAGGCTCTTGAGGGTTGAACTATCAATTCAAGTAGATAACAACATATGAGGATCAATAGACATAGAATTTATAGTGGTTTACTAGTTCAGAAGTTTAGTTAGTCCACTCTAATTAAGTCTCTTGCTCCTGGGGAGTTTTCTATTACTTGGGGGAAGAAGATTACAGAATTACACAGAGTGATAGCACAAATGCTAACTTGTATACAATGTGAGAGATTTGATCCTTACTTATAGCATGCAGTTGCCTTGTGTGACCACTGTAATCCTCTCGTAACCAACGCAGTCCTTGCGTAATTAGCGTGATTCACTTGAGACTGTTACATCCCACGTGACAAAATTTTTGGCTGTTAGAGGCCACATTCCTTAGGCGTGATGTGGTCTTTTTGAAGGTGTGAGTTGTTGCTATGATTGTGTACGCGAGGGTCATTTCAGTGATGATTCCCGACCTGCACCTCTTGGGCTAAAGTTCATGAGCTGAGAGGTCTTAGCTGATGTGTCCGAGTTAAGAAGTCTGAGCTCAATCTTGGCTAATAATTGGTATGATCAATAGTGATCTTTGATTTTGGCTTGGATAAATAGCTTAGCTAGTTAGCTTTCATTTGTATTGTTCTAAAATAAGTACACTATAGGAAAGTCAGAATCTTTCAAATGCTAAAGTCGAATTGCTTTGAGTTTTGCCTGCATTTGGGTGAAATTTAACTCATCCAAATGATTGTGGAAGATGTGCGAGTTTAATGCATTGTCATTTTCTTAGAAAGGTATCAGTACATTAGACTTCTCTAACTTAGGGAGGTTTGTACTCTTTCATCACTTCTCTATAATTTTTTTGTTTTATTTATTAATATTATTTTTAGTTTTGCCTTCATGTGCCATTACGATATCCAAATGGAACTTCGGAAGTCAATCATACTACAGAGAGAGTTCCGCCCGAGCTTCCTGAACCAGTAATTGGGATCAATTGTGCTAGGGATGGCATGAATTGCAGCAATTGGCTTTCTCTGGTTGCTGTGCACATTGCTTGTTGGTTGCTTCTGGGGTTTTTTATTCTGGAGCCCGGCTTAGCTGGAAGGAGAGAAGGCACTATATGTTTTTTAAGTTGTCTCTTCCCAAATAGGGTGGATTGTGGGACCGTGGTTCCAGCTTCTGTTGTTTGATTCATTTCATGATATGTTTAAGAAAATAATATTGACCCATTCACCCAGCATCAAATTGTTCGCTTATCAGCTACCTTGCAAGGCGATATTTTATCCTGTTTCTTTGCCTCAACTTTTGGCTTCCAAGCATGACTTGCTTCGTGGCATGTATATCTACGTTGGAATAGAAACTTAGGAACAATATCACCATTTTTGTTCAATAAGATACCAAAGTGGATGATTGACTCATTCCATACTAGAAATAATCGCAGGAAATAAATGTGGATTTGGTATCAAGGGCAACTATCGTTGAATGATGTGTGTTTGGAATGGGGTCTTGAGAATGAGTCTGACTTCTGATTATCAGAGTTTGTTTTCCTTTTATCCGTCCTGAATTTACTCACCCTTCATACCAAATCCACATTTATTTCCCTGGTTTTTATGTTAATCTCTCTTTGTTTGTAGAGATCAAGTGATAGACAGGTGAAAAGCAATCCCAAGTTAGGCAGATGAAAGTTATGAGAAAGATGAAGATGAACATACCGAGACCCTATGTGGGGAGCTGCAGCAGGCATTACAATGGAGATGAATTTTGGATTGGGCAATGCATTTGTGAGAGGTGGTTCCACAAAAAATGTGTGAAGATAACATCTGCCAAAGCCCAGAACATTCAACAATACAAATGCTCACTCTGCCGTGTGAAGCTTAACAGGCAGTAGTAGTCACTATAACCAACCAAGGAGGGATGATAGTTGATTTAGTGTACAATTTGGATGTTTATTGTCCTGATTGTTGTTTACAAGATAAGCAGTCAGATGGGCTTGAAAATTGTCTTCCTGCCTCTAAAGTGCTTTGCTTAGATATAAGAAATTCCTAATTTATTGTAGATGCTGCAATAGTGTTTGCTTTGCGCACCCAAGTTTATTTATTTTGTGATAATTGATGAACTTAATCAGTGACTGTTTTAGATGAATCTTTCTGCATTTTAGTCCAAGCTAAAAGGCAACGTAGCAAACAGGATTTTTGCTATTGCAGGTTTTGGTGAAGGTCATTTGTATGTCGTTTTAGTCCGCACGGGGATAGGTTTTTCCATTGTTTTACAGCTGACTGTTCTATTTTAAAATGGTGTGCTATCAGGTTGGCATCTGTGATATCAGCCAACAACTGTTTGGCTGGGTCTGGAAGAAGAGTGGCCCGTTTATTTTCTTAAATCTATGTGCTTTGTAAATTGGGTTGACTTGGGGTCAAGTGTATGATTTGTACGTCAGCACTCTGTCTTATCTGATCCTTGATTAGGTTACACTAGATTTAATGGGTCCCAATAGATCTAGGTTTCTTCGCTAAGCGATTTGAACAAGAGATTCTCCTTGAGTTTTGAGTTTGACAAACGTTGGACTCTCTTGTTTGCTTGGTTTATTCCGACAGTTGCAGACATCTCACGGCATATCCACCTACATCCCTACCTTAGATACCATCGCCTGTTTATAACTTTTTCTAGGAAACATCTGTTTCTCTTTCTTGTTGCTGTCTCTATAACCCTCCTAACAGGGTCATTGTCCAACACTCGAAAAGGGCAGCGCGGTAGCTGGGTTTCGACATGGGTTTGAGTTGCGCGGGAAAAGAGCGGTTGAAGTGGACTCAGGAATTACATGATCTGTTTGAAAAAGCAGTTATTCAGCTTGGAGGTCCTGATAGTAAGTACGAGCCATAAATATGGTGGAATTTATAAGGTGTTTGCATTGGTTTTGCATGGTTGTTCCACTGAGGGTTGTTGATGTCCTCTGGTTTAAAGCACTTCGGAAACATTTTGTTGAGCCTTTGTTATTGATGGATGTTTAAACATGTACTTGTAGGGGCCACACCAAAATGTATCTTGAAGGCTATGGGTTCTTCTGGACTAACCATCTACCATGTCAAAAGCCACTTACAGGTTCTCTCTCTCTCTCTCTCTCTCTCTCACACACACACACACACACACACACACACACACTGACAGACACGGGTAGTCTAGCTAGCCAAGTGCTTATTAAGTTTTGGCTAGGATTATGTTGGTATGTTCACATTGCTTCTGTTTGTGGCGGTGGTTTCGATTGAGATTTTCTCCATTAAATTTCATTCACTGGTAGATCATTTAGTATGTATTCAAGTGGGACTCACTGTTACTAAATGGACCCCTTGCTGATGCACGAGTGAAATTTGGTAAGAATATATGGATGTGTGGCAGTTCTGATTCAGAGCAGTGGGTTGATCTTGTTTATTGCCTTTTGTCCTTCCAGAAATACAGGATGTCAAAATTTATTCCAGAATCGTCCAGTAGTAAGTTCAAATCACTTTACCAAGCACAACGTTAATTAATTTAGATTTCCATTTGAAGTCTTACCCTTTGATGTTCTTCCTGAAATTTGTTTGGTATTTTTGACATATGCAGGAGGCAAGTTTGAAAGAAGAAGCATTTCTGAAATTTTGCCCAACTTCAGCACAACATCGTGAGTTGCTACTCTTTCCTTGATTTGTTCCAAGGATTCTTGAATTTTTTGTTCTATATTTTCAGTAAGTAAAATAGTTTCATTGACCAAAAAACGATGGACTTACACAAAACATACCGCAAAAATACAAATATCTCCAAGGGAGAAGTGAACAGAAGGCAAAGTTAAAAGAAAAAAAAAATCCTCCGTTTTGTTGATTTTATTTTTGCTATGATTGTGTATATCTTTGCAGGGGTGCTCAGCTAAATGAAGCACTCCAAATGCAAATGGAAGTTCAAAGGCGTTTGTGTGATCAACTTGAGGTACCACTATCACTATGTATTCTCTCGACACTAAATTACTAAGCAAAAACAGAAAAGCGAGAGAACCACACTTTTCCTTCTTATTCTTGTCTTAATTTGTAAGAATAATTTTGTGCATTGTATAACATCACAAATGAAAGGTAAGGTATCAATCCTAGCTGAGATTAGAAGCCCACTATGTTTTATTTTCCTCAATTTTCTTGGCAACCAAACAGTGCTTACATCTTTATCTATCCTTTGCCACCAAAATATAAACCATTGTATTATGTAGTTTAGTATATCTATGGAAACAGAGATGTCTAATACCCTGGATTAATGGGAAAAAAACTAAGTAATGACCCTAGAGAGTAACAGTTGAATGTAATATTGTAAGATGTTTAGTTTGTTTCATCCTAAAAGGTCCAGAAGAGCTTGAAACTGAAAATCGAAGCACAAGCAAAGTTCCTGGAGAGAATCACAGAGGAATTTAAGGACCGGGTAAGCATTGCAAAGTCAAGCAAGCCTTTCTCTCCAGTATCACTTCCTTCCCTCTGTGACGAGTCCGAGTCAAATATGAAGGAATTTGAATCCGATTCTGAGGCCGAGAAGAGTGAAATTGAAGAATTCCGAGCTCCAAAGAAGCTTAGAGTTGAGGAAAATGTCATCCATCAAAGATATAAACTTGCACCATTTGATTCGGGAACTTATAATCAAACCATGGTTCAGCCACAAGAAGTGAGAAATTCATATTCTGCCAATGAATTTAGCTTTCCATGGAATGTTTCAGCTTGCCAATCTCCTCTACTGCCAGCTTCATATGGTTGTTTGTTTTGATTAGAAAGGTATTCTGCTAAATAAAGTAGCTGGGCTGTGGGTTTGCTTATGGGAACGCCCAGGATGTAGTAGAAGAATGGGTATTGTGTATTGGCCATACTTTGTACTAAATGTAACACCAATTGTAGTGTACTATATTGTTTATAAAAATAAGGTTAGAGATCCATCTTGATGACTTAGCACAAATCATAAGTGTATGATTTGTGCTTAGTCATGAAGATGGAATTGCTTTGTACCTCCCCCCCCCCCCCCCAAAAAAAAAAAAAAAAAAAAAAAAAAAAACCTTGTTTTTATTTTTGTTGATATTTGGGCAGTTAAAAGGAGCAAAATTTGTTTACCAAAAGATATTTAGATAAGAACTAACAAAGCAGTCCTTGAATTATAAGGGGCCAGAGAAGCTTAATGTCCCTTCACCGGCCCCCCTACAGCCCTGGTTCGAAGACAAATCACCCCATAGTGTGCCGGACATGCAAACCCCATTCACTTTGCCCCTGGTTCAAAGCTCAATCACTTTGATATAATGTTAAATAACTATCTACTTTAAAAATTTAAACGGTTAAAAATGATGTAATTTAAATATCTATTTTTCAACAAATGGTAATTGTACATAGTAAAATGAGTCCGAGAGAGAGAGAGAGAGGAATAAAAAGAGAATGATGACCATTTAGGAACAAGAACTCTTTTACGCTGGTAGTTTTTTCTATCTTTTCTTTTATTTGGATTTTTTATGCTCCTAAATATTTTTTAACCGTGTCTCTAGTCTTACTTGAGTAAATAGCAAAACAAAAAAAAAGAAAAATTGTTAGAAATTTTTATTTGTTAAGAGTGGGTCTATGGCATAATTGTTGTAGAAAATATTATTTGAATTTAATTTATTGTCCTAATATATCATAACATTGAATTAATAATGTGTTTAAAAAAATAGCGAGGACTAATAAAAAAGAATGTTTAGTTCGATAAATTAAATGTAAATAGCATTACTCAATTGTTGTGCATATGTACGGATGTCATTGCCTCACTAGTAGACTATTGTTAGTCCTTTAGCTTGTCGGCACGACTATGACATGTGGGTACTCGCAATGGCGCCCTGTGCCTTAACCAAGGTCGGGAGGTGCTTGGCTAAGCACACTTGTCGTGTAAAGATGGCTTCCTATGGGATCGATGATCGGTGGGATTCAAAAGTCCCATGCATGGTTGAGGGAGGTAGTACATGCATGAACATGTTAGACACAAGCAAGGGTTAATTGTATGGGCTCCAATTGATGTGAATTTCAAGCTTAGAAGACCAAGCCATGGGCTGGGCATGACTTGACACATGGGCAAGGGAAATCAGATGTTGTGGGCTGACAAGGAAGGTATGTGCTGATCATGTGGGGTGAATTTGGAATGTGCTAATCATGTGGGGTAGTTCTGGGTAGTTGCTGGCTGACTCATGCGGTAGTTACAAAGGCATAATTATTCCACCCATGCCTGATACTTCTAAAGTCCTATGCATGGTTAAGGGAGGTAGCACATGCATGAGCACGTTAAACATAAGCAAGGGTTAACTGTGTGGGCTCCAATTGATGTGCATTTCAAGCTTAGAAGACCAAGCCATGGGCTGGGCATGGCTTGACACGTGGGCAAGGGAAATCAGATGTTGTGGGCTGACAAGGAAGGTATGTGCTAATCATGTGGGGCGATTATGGAATGTGCTAATCATGTGGGGAAGTTCTGGGTAGTTGTTGGCTGACTCATGCGGTAGTTACAAAGGCATAATTACTCCACCCATGCTTGATACTTTTGAAGTCCCATGCATGGTTGAGGGAAACACATGCATGGGTATGTTGGGAACAAGCAAAGGTTAACCATGTGGATTCCAATTGAGGTGCATTGCAAGCTTAGAAGACCAAGCCATAGACTGGACATGACTTGACATGTGGGCAAGGGAAATCAAATGATGTGGGCTGACAAGGAAGACATGTGCTAATCATGTGGGCCGATTCTAGGATGTGCTGATCATGCGGGGTTGTTTTGGGCAGTTGTTGGCCGACTTATGCGATAGTTACAAAGGCATAATTGCTCTAGCCATGCTTGATACTCTGATTGGTTCAACAAATATGTGGGGTGTGACAAAACCACTCACAATCCTTGAGGGTGAATCTGATTGGTGTCGGCAATTGTAGTAGTTGGGGATGTCAACTGCATGACTGAGTTGGCCAAAGCTAGTTAGTGTCAACATTGCCGAGATGGTTTGGTTGTAACCGTTATGTATAGCTTTATGTACATATTGCTAGGGTCTGCAGTAACCCAAAGGAGTTCCCTTAGTTAAAAATCCTTTGTGCTTAATAAGTAAAAGGTAAGGTCATTTTGACCTGTAATCTCGTGTGCTTGCTGAATGCTTGATATTTTCCCATTACCTATTTAATACTTTATTTCTATGAGTATCTCGTGTGTATGTTTTGCTGACATTGAGTGTAGGATCTCAGTGCCATCACAAAACAAAAATTCAAGTGTAATTTGGCCCCTATGATAATTGGAATCAAAGCAATAAGTCTTCGATCATGGCTGGGGAAAACACTGAAAAGTTACATTAACGTGTGACTTGTCTAGAAGATTTTTTGGATGCCCCTTGGAGTGGTGATGTAACCAGCGTGGCTGTGCAAATGGAACAACATGCTGTCTAGATTACACATCAAAGGATGGTCTTTGACAAATACATGACAGATACCGATGCCAAAATTGCAACGATTATGGAGGACGTTCTGTTTCTCACGGATGTAGTGTGGACCAATCTAAAGGATCTTGAAGATGAGGTGACCCATGCATAGAGAACCATGCATTCTCAATCCACTATGGTGGAGAAATCTTCGAAGATCAAAGTCTCTAAACCCAAGGTCTTAAGTGGTACACGGAGTGCCAAGGATTTGGAGTATTTTATGTGGGACATGGAGGAATACGTCAAAGCTACTCATGGTCATATAGGAAAGAAAATGACCATAACCAACATTTATCTTTTTGGGGATGCCAAATTGTAGTGGTGGACTCGTAATGAGGATGATGCTAGTATGAGACAGACCAAAATCGAGACGAGGGATGCACTGAAAAAGGGAGTTCAATGATCAATTCTTGTCTAACAACAATACATGGATTTCTAGGGAGTTGCTCAAGAAACTGAAGCATAAGACATTGTTTGAGATTATGTGAAGGATTTTAGTTCTTTGATGTTGGATATTAAGAACATGTCCGAGCAGGATAAACTCTTCAATTTCATGTCCAATTTGCATGGATGGGCACATGCCAAGTTGTATAGGTAGGTGGTGCGTGATCTGCCCATTGCCATCGCTACTGTGAATGACCTTATTGACTACAAGATGGGCAATCTAGGAGAAAGATGGTGGCGGCAAGAAAGACATGACTAACATTTTCAAGAACGTAAAAAAATGAGGATTGGAAGAAGAAGAAGAATCACAACGGTGACTCTAAAAAGCCAAATAACTACCATAAAAAGAACTTTGATTCTGATTGTTTTATTTACAATGACCCTCATTGTGTCAAAGATTGCCCCAAGTGGGAAGTTAAGTGCCCTCATTGTTGAAAATGCTGATGACAATGATGACTAAGGGTGTCAAACGTGTCGGGTTAAACGGGTGATGAGTAAAAAACATGTAATCCCGTGCACGACACATTTAATAAACGGGTAAAAAATTTAAACACGAACACGAACCATTTAATAAATAAGTAACACGACATGACTCATTTAACACGTATAATTTTAAATGAGTTGGGTTGGGTTAACACAATAAACCACCCGTTTGACCTAACACGGTACACTCGTTTGCCCAATTTACTTATTTATTTAAAAATACTAAATAACTTTATAAAATTAACAAACTAGCACAAATAAATGTGATATTTAGACATACCACACCATATTATAAAGTACAAACTACAATAAAAAATAATCAAATTTGACCGACAACCATATTACAATTCATAAATACAATTCGAAATAACACAATTACACTAAATAACAATCATTTCACAAACCACAATCCCAAACAACCACAAATTTTATGATTCACAAAATCCCGTGAAAGAGATCAAATCTCCACCCTCACGATAATGAGTAGATTCAATAACCAAATTCTCATATCCTACACAAATTAAAATGAAATATTATATAATATTAATAATTAAATAGACTCATAAAAGTAACAAAAACTTTACATTACAAGCTACATACTTCAATACCTCTCTTTAGTCATGATCAATGATAGATATAGAATTAGAATATTGAGCGGATCTTCTTCATCAGAAACTATAATTTTGTGTTCGGAAGAATCCATCTGTTTAAGCAAAAAAATAGAGTTACACTGATATCACTCCCAACACACAACACACAAAAACTGATATACACAAAATTCTTGTAGACTTATGTCAAATTGTGAATATAGAGAATTTACTCCATTAAAGAATTCACTCAAGCACTGTCATTCACTCTATTAAAGAATTCATTAAAGAATTCACCGAAGCATTGTCATTAAAGAATTCACTCAAGCACTGTCATTAAAGAATTCACTCACGCTCTGTCATTCACTCCATTAAAGAATTCAATTTAAATTATGTTAAATTGTTAAATGTACAGAATTCACTCCATTAAAGAAAATACTTGTAGCAACAATGCTCAGACTTCAACCAAACCAACTTATGTTAAATTGTGAATATACATTCCATTAAAGAAAATCATGCAAGCACCGTCATTAATAAATAATTCAATCTATATATTCCCTCCACTTCAAATCAATTTTTTTTTAAAAAAAATATCAATGAAAAACAAACACAATCCATAATAGAAATATATTTATTTATCTAAAAAAAAACCGAAAAACACACACACACACAAAAAACTAAATCCATTGAATCAATTAATGACAACATGCATTCACATACATACTCACGTACACACACACACACACACATATATATGAGGTAACAACTATTTACACATGCAAAAAAGGATCTCAACAGCTCAAATGAGACCTAATCCACTAAGAATATATAGGCGAGGGTTTGGGGAAGAAAATATTGAATTGGAGAAGA